GCGCTGGGTGTTCTTATCTTCATCAGGGATGGAGGAAGACTCCACGAGCAGGAGGCAGCCTGACTGTTCCCTCCGTGGGTCTGAGGACTTCGCTATGCGTCAGGTGGGGTAGCGCTCACCCTCCGCCTTCGTGCACCACCAGTGAGACCAGGATGCGGGTTTCCGGCGGTGCAGGTCCCTGACTTAACCCGTTCTGACACCAGCTGGAAGAAAAACGCGTCGCTGGAGGTAACTCAGCAGGTATGGCAGGCGCTAAGCGGACGCCCTCGCCATCAGAGATCGACCCAGACGTGAAGACAGATGTGCAGAAAACCCCAGAACCCACCTGGGTGAATCCGTCCAGCTCCCTCCGGACCATGGGTTCGTTTGGGAGCGATGTCGGCCAAAGGTATAGCTGCTGCACGTCCCGCTCCACGGCGTTCTGAATGCAGCATCTAGAAAACGATGCCTGCGCGTGCTGCACCTGATAACTTCACTCCTAATTATCTCCAAGTTGCACCGTGATTAATAATCCGTTATCAGCTGCCCGTCCGGTAGCACCGGGATATGTTGGTCATGAGCGTTACGCACGGCGTCTCATCGTCGGCGTTTTAACATCTGAGCAACTTCTGCGCCTCCTACGTAGTCAGGTGCGCTCAGATCAGATTTAGAGCAAACGCTTCACTCGTTTGTCATTTTCCTCCCAGCATCACGGCGGTTTAGTGGCTGCAGTGCGTTACATAACTCACCGATGCTGCATTCTCATAACAGTTTAATGAAATCTGATGTTTATACTGGGTCAGAGGCGGTTCGCGCCGCGCCGCTGGAGCAGAACTGGTGACAACCAGATGGATGCTCCTGAAATGCAAACCGAGAGATCTGAATGACACGTCTTCTTATTTATATTAAAAAGGTGCTGTGGGATGTTTCAGCTCGTGCACAGTCTGAGTGTGCACATGTCATGTGTTAGACAGATCAGGTGTGTTCTGTGCAGAGGTGGAACGGCTGAGTGGCATCATGCTGCCTTTTTCCTTTTCTAGAACAAAATACTCCTCGGCTATACAACTGCGTCATTATTTTGAGGTTACCTGGTGTTTCTTTTGCTGAAAACAGGAGGGTGTTTATTAATTAATTAATTAATTTATTTATTTATTTATTGGCACATATTCAGAAAGATGCTCCCATAATTCTGGTCCTCTAATGTGTTTCATCACACATTTACATCTATTTCCTTTTAACCACTTGACCAGACCATTTTCAGTAGTGAAATTTTTAAGTAATAAAAATTGCATCATATCTGTTAGATGTTTGTATCAAATGTAATGACTATCATGTTATTAGGTGTAATAATAAGGTGTAATAAATCCAAAATCCACCTTGTATATTTGTTAAAAACAAAAACACGTATTTTTCTTACTTTATCGAATCCACATCACTAGAAACAATTATACAACGTTCCCTCTTGGATCGTAATTGTGGCTGACAGATGTGAACAGATGTTGCTGTTTAGGGATTTGCTCTGCTGTTTAAACTGAAAGGAGAGTTTGTGCTTTTATTTTATTTCAGTTTAATGTCTCTCTAGTTTATCTTTGTTTAAATTCTGAAGAGAATTACTAAAACAGTCGCTCCCACGTTTGTTTCGGGAAGATGTGATTGAACTTTTCTCCCTTTGATTCAACATTTTTGACTCTGGTGAAGTTGGACTTAATGTTTAGTGGAAAATTGGCAGCGTCATGACGATGAGACTAAATTCAGATGACACCGATGGAGATGACTCTTAGTTGCTGCAAATGTTTTCTGATCAACGAATATTTCAACAACTGCTTTGAAGACCGAATGAAAGAAGTTAACTTCCAATAAGTTTAGTGAATCTGAACAATTCTGCTTGTTTGCTAACAAGTGGCTCAGGATGTGAAACCTAATGTAAATGTTGGCGCGTTGCCCAGGGCAACCAGAGCTGAACCCCAGTTTGGGTCAGGAAACATCCCCAAAAAATCAATAAATAAATGTCTTTGGCCAACCCTTGTCACTCAATTACCATCTTTTGGAAAACTGAATTTATTTTTAAGGATCTCGAGTTTTCTTCTTCCTAACAGACGGACGGGATGTTAAGGGAAGCCTGAGAGCTTTTCTAGGTTGTGAAATGTGATCGGGTGGGATTTGCGTCCAGCTTGAGAGTAAAAGGAAGGAGAGTGTGAAAAGGAAATCAATAAGAGCCGTAGATTATAAGTGATCTCTCTTCGATTCCTCTTGTTTGTGTTTATATCGTGAGACTTTATGGAGCAGATCCTTGTTGGTGTCTCACACCTGCAGGCTGAGCGCTACCTGAGAGTAAATGAGCTGCAAGAGCAGGCAGAGTGGTCCAGGTATGCAGTTTATTCTGTCTGAGAATGGCTTATTTCTGTCACATCATCCATGTTGAATGTGATGGTTTTAGAGAGCAGCAGAAGCTGCTGGATTTGTTCTCATTACCAGTTTAAACATTGAATCCAGCTGCATCCTTACAAACAGCAGATGTTTAGACTGATTAGCTCACAGCGACGACTTTCTACCATCTGCTGACTTTTCAGCGGAAGAACAGCTTTGATGTGTTCTTCTGGCCCCCTGCTGTAGACATTAGTTATGTTATTCCTTGTAATATCTTGTAATTGAATTTCTATTTAAAATAATAACATGGTAACCTAGGAAACTGAAACCCAGCGAACTTATCTGATACCTGAAAGTAATTTTACTGTAAGGAAGAAGTCGAGCTTCCAGACAAACTCAGTAAGTTCATTTAAAATCTTCTCTAGACTAAAGCTGATCTACGTCTTAGTTTCATGTTTCCTCGACTCCTCCATGCCCGTTCCTCTTTACCTCTCCTGAAGCTCCCAGGTTGGTGAATATTGAGCATGTTTGTGTTTAAGGGTGAAAACGTAGCTTTAAACCAGAACAGCAACGCAATAGCAGGCCAGATATCATCATTCTGCAGAGCTACAGTAGAATTTCTGAACTACCCAACATGGCTTCTTTCTGATTCGGCTGTTTTACGGAAGCCCATCAAGGAGCAGAAGAATTAGCACGTTTGCATAGCAACGTTTACCGAAAAGGCCCATTTTGTTGCAGTTTGCTGTGAATTTCCCAGCAGATCTCCTTCGCTCAGCTCTCTAAGTTTTCTGCTTATTTGGTTTCAGTATGATGAGAAATCAGTTTACAGATTTTTTTTTATTGCACAGAAAATGGAACAATTACCTGCATTTCATTTGAGCATCCAAGATCCAGTGAAGGGATGTGATGAAGTCCTTGGGGTAAATGACACAGCACCCATAGTTTTATTTAAATAACGCCTCTCAGCCACTGACGTAAAGACTTTTAAGCAACACTTGAAGCAAAACAGAATAAAACGGTGGTTTTGAATGATTGTAGCAGACCAGATCTGTTTTTGTGTGCTGCTGAGATGATGTGGAAGACACACCCAGAGGGGGTCGGCCTTTGAGGCAGTTCTTAGTGAAAGTTAATAGAAGGATGCTTTCTAAGTGATTCCCATTGTGCACTTGTTGTCTCCGGGCTTCAGTGGCCACCAGCTGGAGGGGTAAGGACCATCAGTGCTACTCTTTAGGATTTTACCTCAGAATATTACTTTATTTTTCTGAGATTTTGATGATGAAGCTTAGAAATTAATCTAGTTTGTATGTTGATTGTTGTGAGCTGATGGAGCTAAATGGTGCATGTGTTAATCTGTGCTATAGCTGCTAGCAGCCAGATAGGATCTTTATTGCTTGTCGGAGTGCTGCCAGATGACCGACCACCAAATGGACCACAAGATCAGAACATAAGAGCTAATGCTTCTCTTGTCATTTACAATTTTCCCAGATGCAAGCAGACTAACCACCTCCTAATGGCATCACTGTGGTCTCAGAGTGTTGTAAAAGACGGGCCACACGCATGCAAAGTGTAAACTTTCCCTTGCAATCAAAGAGATTAGCCTCAGATCAGTTTAGTATGCTTTAAAGGCAGCATTTGGGGGTTTTGCCTTCCTTTAGTAAATAACCAGGAAGATGTCCAATATTTAATTACTAAAGGTGCAAGTTGGTGCCGCATCTGAATGTGGCTAGAACTGAAGAGGAATTGAAATATGAGACAATTCTCCTAAATGTTCTTGCATCATATTAAAAGCTGGAGTCGTTGGGAATAACAGCGTTGTTTGTGTTATTTTATGTTTCTTTATTCATGCAAACGTGTTCTCCGAAGCTTTCTCGCTCTGATCTAAAACGACTGAGTCACACTCAGTAAGAGCTCCGAGTGTGTCGTAGTCGTGAGTTGGCTTTTTGCAGCTTTAAATGATGTAATTCTGTCCGTTTGTTCTAATAGAGAAAATAAACCCAGCATGTTAGTTTGTGAATCAATGAAATGAAATGTTTCTTTGCCCTCAGTGTTACACACCTTTGCTTAGTTCACACTCATCTGAATATGGAAAGCTTGTGTGTAGTCTGGGTGTGTTCTCAGATCTCCTGGTTTGCATTTTGAGTCGCATCTTTTCTGTATTCAGCTGTTTGTTACATCATCATTTATTAAATAAGTGTTTGTCTTTCACATGCTTTGTGAGTGAATTTCTTGGAAATACACTTTTGTATTGCTGGTCAAATGCAGGAAAATCCATTTTGCCTCTGAAAATGTGTAAATTTACTTGTTGGTGGACTTGGAACTCAACAAATCTGTGGTGGAGAGATCTCAGCAGCACATGGCTGGTTAAAAATCACAAAACAAATTAGACTTCATTAACCTTTCAAAGCAATACTAGTTTGTATAACGAAGAGCAGCTCTCCTTTTGGACCCATTTTCTGCAAACTGCTTTTAAGATTCCCCCTAAAAGTGAAACGTTTGTTCGTTCTGACCCAAACTGCAAGTAAATCTGAGAGGCTTCCTGAGTGGCAGTTCTTCCCTTCTCATTTCTAGTTTCCTTCTACCCCTCGCTTGATTTTCTTTCTTTGAGGGACCGACCATAACTTGTGCCTATTTGTGTCCATGTGTGCTGCATCCAGGTATCAGGAGGAGTACAGTATGGACTCAACCAATGCCCAGTAAGTCCCTGGCAGCATCATGCTTGCATGGCATGGAATGTGTCTGCAGTGATTACTGGACCACGACAAAACCCATACGTTGCACAGTTCACAGTGGTCTTTGAACTCACCGTATGTGGACGATACCACGTTCAACCATCCAACAGCCGTGCTCCACACTCAGTAGGGCAACTCGGTACTGAAGAGCTGATCTTTCTCGGCTACCTTTTCACCAGATGTTTTGTCAAAGTTATTTTGCTCATAATTAAATTTACTAACATTTGCCCAAAAATGGTGAAAAGGTAGTTTAAGTGTTTCGTTGCATACTCTTGATGTATTGATTGATTGTGCACGTCAGTTTTATTCATTTATTTGTTTTTGGCCCTTGTCAGTTTGAGATCTGGAGTTTGGACGGCCCGTTTCACTCTGGATTAATACCCTGCTATGCCCACAACCTCTCTGCAACCTGCACAGCCTAATAGAACATGACAGAATAACAGAAAATTTAAAAAAAGAAATAAAATGTGTCAGTGACAGCCAAAACAATTATTGGCTAGGGATGTTTGATATTATTGGATGAAAATGGCATTGAGATTTAATTTTAAAAGTATTAGTTTTTACGTTTACATACCATCTCTTTGGCAATTTCACTCAAACTGTTCAACCATGACGGCTCAGAGGTTTAGTTTTAGAGATGTTTTTGCTTGTTTGGCTCAACTGGTCAAGCTTATAGAATAGGTGACATATTTTTCACTGATAATGTTTAAAGTTTAAGCATGCCTGCCAGGAGATATGTGGCGTTAGTTACCTAAAATGATTGAGTTTTTCTGTTTAATGAGGGAGGGTTAGTATGTGTCAGCATCACAAAGTAAGTGATAGACTATTCGGCATATTGGTGAAAAAGCCAATATCAAACACCTAGTTTCTTCTTCCTGTCTCTGGGATGCTTGTCTGTAAACATGACCCATACACTGGCGATACGTTTCCATGACGATCCTGTCACGTCTTGGCAGTTGGTACCTCTCCTCAAGATGCGTCTGTAAACTAGAAGACTGAATGAAACTACACTCAACAAAAATATAAACGCAACACCTTTGTTTCTGCTCTGATTTTTCATGAGATCTCAAATTCATTTCAGATACACAATATCACCATTTCTCTCAAACATTGTTCACAAATCAGTCTAAATGTGTGATAGAGAGAACTTCTGCTTTGCTGAGGTAATCCATCCCACCTCACAGGTGTGCCACATCAAGACGATGATCTGACATCATGAGTAGTGCACAGGTGTACCTTAGACTGCCCACAATAAAAGGCCACCCTGGAATGTGCAGTTTTTTGCTTTATTGGGGGTCTGGGGACTCAGAACCGGTCAGTATCTGGTGTGACTACCATTTGCCTCATGCAGTGCAACACATCTTCTTCACATAGAGTTTATCAGATTGTCAATTGTGGCCTGTGGAATGTCGGTCCACTCCTCTTCAACGGCTGTGCAAAGTTGTTGGATATTAGTGGGAACTGGTACACGCTGTCGTACACGCCGGTCAAGCACATCCCAAACATGCCCAACGGGTGACATGTCCGGTGAGTATGCTGGCCATGCAAGAACTGAGACATTTTCAGCTTCCAAGAATTGTGTACAGATCCTTGCAACATGGGGCCGTGCATTATCTTGCTGAAACATGAGGTGATGCTCATGGATGTACGGCACAACAATGGGCCTCAGGATCTCATCACGGTATCTCTGTGCATTCAAAATGTCATCAATAACATGCACCTGTGTTCTTCGTCCATAACAGATGCCTGCCCATACCATAACCCCACCACCACCATGGGCCACTCGATCCACAACATTGACATCAGCAAAGCGCTCACCCACACGACGCCACACACGCTGTCAGCCATCTACCCTGAACAATGTAAACCGAGATTAATCTGTGAAGAGAACACCTCTCCAACGTGCCAGACGCCATCAAATGTGAGCATTTGCCCACTCAAGTCTGTTACGGCGACGAGCTGGAGTCAGGTCAAGACCCCGATGAGGACGACGAGCATGCAGTTGAGCTTCCCTGAGACGGTTTCTGACAGTTTGTGCAAAAATGTTTTTGTTATGCAAACCAAATGTTTCAGCAGCTGTCTGAGTGGCTGGTCTCAGATGATCTTGGAGGTGAACCTGCTGGATGTGGAGGTCCTGGGCTGGTGTGGTTACACGTCATCTGTGGTTGTGAGGCCGGTTGGATGTACTGCCATATTCTCTGAAGCACCTTCGGAAACGGCTTATGGTGGAGAAATGAACATTCGATGCACGAGCAACAGATCTGGTTGACATTCATGCTGTCAGCATGCCAATTGCACGCTCCCTCAATGATGGTGGCATCTGTGGCATTTTGCTGTGAGACGAAACTGCACATTCCAGGGTGGCCTTTTATTGTGGGCAGTATAAGGTACACCTGTGCACTATTCATGATGTCGGATCCGTATGTTGATGTGGCACACCTGTGAGGTGGGATGGATTATCTCAGCAAAGCACAGGTGCTCACTACCACACATTTAGACTGATTAGTGATCATTGTTTGAGAGAAATGGTGATATTGTGTATCTGGAATGAATTTTAGATCTTTAAGTCCATCTCATGAAAAATCGGAGCAGAAACAAAGGTGCTGCCTTTATATTTTTGTTGAGTGTCGCATGATGCTTATGGTCTAATGGAGTTGTAGCTTTGGCAAGAAGCTATCCCATATCATGGATACGCCACCACTGTGCTTCACCATCTTAATCACGAACCTCCGTTCACAGTCTTACTACAGAAGTTTTTGTGCATGACCATACATGTGTTTGTTTGGTAAAATCACCTGAAGACCATTTAGACTTATGTTTATGTTTATGTTTATTTATTTGGCAGATGCTTTTATCCAAAGCGACTTACAATCTATAACCTATAGGGCATGTTGTGATCTGTGGGGGAAACCGGAGTACCCGGAGGAAACCCACGCATGCATGGGGAGAACACGCAACTCCACGCAGAAAGGCCACAGCCGAGTTTCGAACCTGCAACCTTCGTGCTGCGAGGCAACAGTGCTAACCACTGTGCCACCATGCAGCCAACACCTGTTGGTTTTTTGTGTGTGTCGTAGCTGGAGTCTTCATCCTGTGTGATCGGAGTTGAGAAACATCACAGAGGAACCTAATGCTGCTGCTAATGTTAGTTAAACATGGAGATGATATGTGCTCACTGCATCTACAAGGCATGCTGCAAAGACAGTGATTAAGAGATGTTTCAGCTGGTTTGTGATGAGTTTTTAAATCATCAGTCTCTAACTCAAATGTTTAGTTTAGCTAATGTAGTGAGTGTAGTGCAGAAGTGGTAAGTATCCAGATGTGTGTCCCTGCAGTGGGGTTTGTGCTTGCTAATGAGTAAAACATGATTTAGCATAAATTTAACATAAAATGGGATTTGAAACAGGATTTGAGTGCAGCTTATTAAACAAATCCAACCAAATCTCCTGTTGTTTAAATGAAAACTGAAAAAGTATAGCAGCTAAACGTTAATAAGCCTTAGTCCACAAAAGCACGTCACACACGCTGACTGATTCTTATTACAGTAAATCTGATTTTTAATGAATTTTGTTCTGGACTAAATCTGCACAGCTAAAGGTAAATGTGGATTTCTCACCATGAGTGTCCTGTTGTCCTCGGATGGCTGCAGGGATTTTAATAACCTTCATTATAATTGAGCTGGGGGGGCAGATACTAAACGCTTCAGACAGATTCATCGACTTCCTAGCGTTAACATAATGATCGCAGTAAAATGTTTACGCTAATTGAAACTTGTCTGGTAAGAGCTGGTTTGCATTAACCTTTTAGAAATGTGGATTTTCTTCCCAGATTTTATTTAAGGTTGTTGATTACAAAACTAAATATGCACTTCTCAAAAGTCTAAACCCATATCTTTTAATTGGCCGCTCTTAACTCAGATCCCAACAAATAGATCTCATTGCTTCAGATTCAGCAGAATGGTTAAAAATAACGGCCTGCTCCCCTCATCGGACCTTTTAGGTCAGGGTGAGGGTTAGGGTGAGGCAGCTGTCTGGCGTCTCCTTGATGAATCACGTTTGAACGTCTTATGTTAGAGGAAGTAATCCATCAGCACAAGTTGCCCTTTCATTTAAAAGATAATTGCTTTGCGAGAAAAGTTTGGGCGATCCGTGCCAGCAGACGTCCTCCTGCAGAGGTTTCACTGCTCTTTGGGTGTTTTTGAGAACTATATTAGTTGGAGATGCTGATGTTGTTGAATCGTGAGAGCCTTGAGCTATGAACACGTCAACACCCGAGAGTTCTCTCCATCACCGTAATGGTCTGATGATGGTGGTAGAGAAATGAAGCTGGCAGGATGTATCACATCCGTCCTGCACACAGCGAAAGGTCGTCTGTATGTTGCAGCGGGAGGCTCTGGATTCGAGGCACGGATCAAGAATCAGGAACGTTTTAAACACGTTCAGCTGCTGGTAATTGTTTTTCTGATGCAGCACTTTCATTTGTTGCACAACTCTGAAGAAGTTTTTCCTGTGGTAGCAGAGGCGTCGGCCATCTTCTGGGATGTGGGTTCATAATGGCTCGAGTAGTGAGATTTGTGTAGCTGGTGAGCATGTTGAGCAGCAGAAGGAACAGTGAAGTTTCTGTTTCTTTAGCTGAAAATGTGCTTAAATTATATAGAAATACACATAAACATTCTGGATAGACTTGAGATAAAAAAAAACATACTTTGACAAGGTCAAATGCAGCTAAGTAACCTACCCTTCACCCTCTTTTGCACATGCACACAGTGTGCAGATGCTACCAAAGAGCTGAGACAACCTTTTCATGCTCCCAATGTTTCTAATCTGCATCTCGAGTCATTTTATCCTCCATTGAGCTAACCGGATCTGTTCCAGCTGATTAAAACAGTACTCTCATGGTGAGTCTGCAGTGAGGATACAAGGCTAGTTTACACCTGTTACACCTGAAGTCCGTTCAGCTGTTTGTGCTCCATGGCGGGCTCTCGGACACGTGCTCTCAGCTCAGCGTGGGAAGTTTTAGCAGCTGCTCAAAACAAAGATGCTGCTTTGAGTATTCATGTTCAGCTGTGATGTTTTTAGAGCCTTGAAGCTGTTAGGCCAGGCACCTCTCAGGGGCGGTGCATGGGGAAATGGTTATTTTCAGCTGTTTGCTTTTGTCAGACGAGTATCCGAGCAAAGGCTGGAAAAGGGAGAGGATAGAAAACAGTCCTTAGGTAGGACTGCAGCGACGGGATGCAGTTATTCTGAATTTGTCTGAGCCCAGAGGCCCTAGACCTTAGCAGAAGCTGTCTAGCCACCTGATTGGTTTAAAACCCCTGAGCTGTTAGCTTTCATGTTGTTTTGAACTTCTCTGACACTTTTTAACCTTGTTTTAGTCGTACAAAGTACTTAAATTAGCGCTTCTGAAGCAACAGCAATTTCAGTGACTCGCCCAAGGACGCTTCAACACACTTCATGGCTCCAGCCCTCCTGCTGAAGGGACGCAGTATCTGCTAGTAACAGAGTTTTCTTATGAAGGTGACGTTAGTGTGATGTTCATGCTGCTAAATGTGCTAAACGTAGGTTAAAGGTGTGGAATCATTTTTTTAAATATTGTTTCTGATTATAATCGGTCACTCTGGGTTTCGATCATGAAGATAGTCTCCTACACGTATCTCCTGCGTTAGCCTCTGATGGAAAACAGACGGTGAAGCTCTAGAAAACCCGGACAGATCTACGTCACACTTTCACTCAACATTCATGAACTCACCCATCTTGACTCGGGACGGGAAAGGCTGTTGTTGGCTTAGCGTCCAGGAACTAGCATGAAACGTCTCGACTTATAGAAGCTAACTGTTAGCATTAGCAACACCACCACACAGCAGAACTCATTAGGGCTTGTGTTATTTGTGGAGATAAAAAACATCAAGAATGCAAAGCAAACGGAGTCAGTGGGGGAGTCGCATTTCTGTTAGCCAATCAGAGGTGAGCTGTCCAAACATCAGGAAGTAAGACTCCAAATCCTGTTGGAAGCTCAATCTTCTAAAACCTGAAACAGGCGCGCCGGCGCTTTTTGTACCCAGAGTACAACTTACTCTTCATTCCTGCTAGAGAGCACTGCAAACGCATTCACTAAACCAGTACATCACACCTTCATATCAGAGGTTACTGAAGCGTCGCTACCTTTAAATGTATTTGGTGGATCCTGTGAAGATGATAGAATTGAAAGAAGTTCACAGCCGTTAACATCCGGTCTCCTCGGCCGACGGAGGACCCAGCCCACGTCGGCCGAGTAGGCTGGGTCCTTCGAAGGATGCAGACCCTGAATTGAGACACAGCCACATGCTAATGACATTGTGACATCATATGGTACCAACTAAACTTCTAGGGTACCTCTTAGCCAATAGCGATGGCAGATTTAAATTCAAATGCAGAGCAGAGTTTTTACCTGACAACGGCACAACACTGACAGTTTTAGGCAGAACATTAAATTTGAACTAAAATGCACTAAAGTGCAAAATTATTGACTACACGTGTCTGCAGCACGATTAGACACACATTTATACAGTTTATCAGGGAAATAAGGTTGATTTGGGGGTGACGTGCTCTTTAATGCACATCTGGTATTGCACATGTATTGGACACATGCTGAGTATTGCATTGATGCAACAGGGTAATGCCAGTAGCAGTTACACTGACTGCAGAGGGGATGAATTATTCTGTTTAGAGCTTACTTTTAGCTCTTTTCTGTTTTGGTTTCTTATATTTCATTATTTTAACACGTTTATTATAAATCCAAACCCAAAAATGGACTTTGGGGTAAAAAGAAAATCTTCTATTGGATCTCATAAGGCTTGAACAGAGAATGTAGCTCACAGATCGGACTCTTGGATTTTATGGATTTACCTCATTTAAGCTCTGAAAACATCGTTCGCTTTTCTCAGATCTCAATAAAATCATTCAAACGTTCTCTACGAAAGATGAAATAAAAAATGACAACATTCTGGGTTTGGGTGGCTATTACTCAGAAAATCTCATCCTGATGACATAATGAGAAGACTTGCTCGACGGGGTAAATGGTGGAGTCGTGTTTCAGCTTTTTTCTGCTGCTCTCATTTTTCCTGTATGACGGCTAATTGCTTGTGTGTGTAGACAAGCTGGGTAAACACGAAGCCTCCGTCGCCATCGTCGGTCTTTGTCTTGTCCTGCTTCCCAGGTAACAGAGAACTCGACACTGCTGACCGCGTGGTAAAGCAGCATGCTTGCTTTCAAAGAGACTTAAGGGATTGGCGGTGTG